AATGTTTGTTCAAGACTGAAAATTGGGACATTTTCAGTCAATGTTGATGCTGACGAACCATTCATGACCCAAACTAACCCACTGCAAACATGAATCACGAGATTTGCAGATGTAGAGTTGTGTTGAAAAGCCTTAGAAATCGCTGAGGCAATGAATAGTTGACCAACGGGAAGCTACAATCGGCAGATATATAGGGTGTTGATGTGGTGTTAGACGGTAAACAAGTCCGCGAAATATGATATTTGAGAATGGAACAGTTCGCAAAACGATTACGACAAACAGCAGCATTTGCAGGTTGTAGTTTGATGGACAATGTTTTTGTAATAGGGCCAAATACCACCTACTGGAATGAGGCTTGGTTGTCATGGCAATAACTGTCAAATTTTGCACCAACTGGGTTAGTCGTAACTGTGTGGTCTCAAATCACCCACTGACAAGACTCCAGGAAGTATATTAAATTGTCAATATCAGAACGCGAACATACCCTCACCGGCGTTACTTTGAGGCGTCTGTCTTGATCAAGCCACTACGAAAATCGATTACACAAATGAAATTAGGGCATTGGTATGATAGCCAATCGCAAGGTGCTCTTCTGTCAACTGTCAACGTCTTTAAAAGTATGGAAGTGCTTTAATGAGTCGCCATCTTCCACACACCACTAAAAGTTTGACCCCGACTCCCAAAATTTGCATCCCATGGAACACATTGTGTGCAGCTAAGACAGCTGGTTCCGCTTGTGAAGAGGAACGACGAATCGGAAAGTTTGACAACATGAACATGTCTCCCTTTTTGTGCACTTTAAGTAGCGTTTAACACGAATACCGTTCGTTAAGTGAGCAGCTTGCAGGATTGAGGATTAAAACAATGGATGAAGACAGCTGGTGTTACTTGGGATATCCCGTAATTCAACCGACCACACACGCTTGAGAGTCCATTAAGGAGTTAGATTTAACTAATTGGAGCGCTGCTAGAGACAAAATATAAGCAGAAACATATTTTAGTACTTATTTTGCCTCCTCAGCAAATGAGAGCTTGAGAATGGCTACATTGTTTGAAATATTAAACGATAAAATAATAACAACCGTAAATGACTTGCAAGTGCACGAAGAAGCGGTCAAAGGTCTCGAATATTCAAAAAACCCTGTAGTTCAACATCTTGACTCCGTGTTTTTATGGACTTTTTGCAAAAAATCCAATCGAGCATATAAACCTTAGGTATATTGGACAAGACTTTTTGGGCAACGTGGATTACGCACGTTTTGTCGAAAATGTCCACTGGAAACACCTATTAAAAAGGCGTTATACATTTTTCAATCCTATGAACACTAGAATTGCGCATTACGAAGGGTGCAGCTCACGTTCTCGTATTTTAAGTGCCCTTACTTGAAGGCATCAAAAGCAGTTTTCAGAGTGTCACACGACGACCTTACGACACAAATTTGGCACTTGCGTTTAAGCGGGATACGTGCCAAAGTGAACCAGCTGGACATTTCCTGCCTCTCTCAGTTGCCTTGCTGTTGCTAATTATGACGAAACACGCCTACTATTTTATGTACCACAGCAGTAACGGCTACAAGCGCGTGAGACGATAATAAAATTTTGGGTGTCATGTGACCCATGGGACATGTGACGACTAAACAAACAAAATTGCGCAGTGAGACGAGTGAAACGTGAAAACGGCGTTTCAGTCAATTTCTTGTCTATGTGGCGATGCAGGCAATATAAAAAGGTTCTGTGCGACGCATGCATGCATTCGCAAGTTAAACAAATCGATAGTTGCTATGATTACAGCTCAGACGCGTACAGCGAATGAAGTTAGTGCATTCAAACAAGGCACAACTAAGGGCAACTTCTACTTTATTTCTTTTTAAACTGAATTAAAAAGTAGAGGTTTTTTTCATATTTAAGGTCCTAAAAACACCAACCTACAAATATAACTCCTAGTGGGTGGTGTTTTTCAGGCGAAGGAGGTTTTCGGTTACCAAGTTAGGCAATTAAGTGGTGGGTGCACAAATGATTGCGGTATCTCTGCACATGATGCCTGCCAAATAAAGCCGATTTTGTGCATCCATGTCAAAGCGCGGCTGAATGTTTATCACTTTATACTGATGCCGCGCATCGGTTTGATGCCCACGAGTAAATGGTGACGTTTTATACACGAACACTTTAAGAAATCCCCAGGGCACCAAAATACCTCTGTCAAAATTAACCCACCACGTGGTGAGGCTTTCACATCAGGCAAGCGATTCTGAGGCAGATTACTAGGATGTTTTGACGAATATTTTAATTGAAAGCCAGACAATCGACCTTCAGATCTGCAAATAAATTTCGCAATCATGCATATTTTGCTTGGGTTATTGGCACAATTCATTAGGTTAGTAGAACAGATATACTGAGTAAACAACACATAAAGGGAAATTCTCTAGATCAAGATTCCTTCGCTGTATAGACAGGGAAAGACCTAAATCAATGATTTATGCTGCTTTTCTGTTCGCGATGAAGAATCTTTCCACTCATTCTCATGAGAAGTCCAGGTAAATATGGTATACAATGCTTCACATGTTCTAGCTTTATTCTGATTCCATTCCTTTCCACATTCTGACGCTCGATTCACTAAAATAACGCGATTTTCAATTTATATTGTGATATTTCCCAAAATTTAAACAAAGCGTTGCTCTATTGTCACTAGATAGTGATCGATCAGGAATAGGGTGATATTACCGCAGTCCAATCAGCGAATTCCACGAGGCCTCGGCGTCCACTTTGAAAAGCGAGAGGTACCAACACCTTCAAGTGAGATCAAATCTAAATTTGCTTAAACCTACCTGGCCACAGCTTCCAGAGGCTAGGTAACCAACAGTGTTAGTTCGGCAGTCACTTCAAAAATGGGAAGTTGTTCAACTCCAATGATTGATTGTGTTCCAAGTTAGACACGGCTTCCATGAAAGGAGCTCGAAGGAAGTCGGTGTGCAGCATTTGAGAGGTCTTCGAATCCAGGAAAATGAACAACCGTTCAGGATATCGGGAACCTCAAATTCTTGATACCCACCTTATCACCGAATCTCCGCATCGTGACGGAATAAGCACGACGTTAGATACCAGCTCCTACCTTGTTTTAAAAATGACCCTTGTCAATCCGACCAATGAGTGTGCTGAGAAACCTGGCCCAGACGTACTACTTAACCGACAGACCGTCTGGGGGCAACTGTCAACGCGTTGAGATCATCCCGTCAATGCCCAACGACTCCATCCACCCCAAATCCACAAAGAAAGCTAAGACGGGAGGAAACGCTGACAAAGTACTGCGGTAAAATAAGTGGTCACCAAAAAGAGTGTAGGGAGTGGTACACGGTTTCTGTTTCTTGTGTAGCAAGACAGGGGAGGAGTGGGGTTAGGAGGGGCACGTAGGAAGCGACTCTTTCTGTTTGTGTTTGTTTGTTTTCATACCATTAACGACCATTCATGGTGGGGGTGTGGGGCGGGGGGGCAGTGGCGACATGACTGGTCAAAATAAATACCTATGCGAGAGACATGAGATAGAATGGTAACAGAAGAAATCACCGAGTTATGTAACACGTATAAGGACAAACAAGTAGCAGCAACACGACACGCTCAATAAAAAAAGGTAAAAAAGAGAGGGAGAGAGAGGATGCACGAGGTTAGGCACACCGGCGCTGGGGGCAAGGACGAAACACAAACTCAAGTGGCGGGTTGTGGTGAGATAAATGCTTGTTCACTCTCGCCTCCGGTGCTAGGGATTTCAGTGAGGTGAATTGGTCTGCCGCGGCCGACTCGACACGAGCACAGGGAAGCCGAGTGCACAGCCATTCATCTTGCCGTCGGCACCGGGTAGGAGCGGGAACACGAGACGCTGGTCGCAGTCGTTGGTGGTCTTTGACACCAGAGTCACCGAGGTCTCGACGGGGGGACAGGTAGACGAGGCGGACGCGGAATCGGGGACGATTTGGACAGGCACGGGGATGAGGGAGGAGGCGGGGGCACCGGAGGCCACGGCGGTGGCCGCCGCAAACTCGGCCGCCGAGGCGGAGGTGGGCGCGGACACGAGTAGGAGCGGGAAGCCGCCGTCGGAGAAGGACTTCTCGTTCGGCGGACAGCACGCGTTGCCCGTGAGGAGGACGGCGCCGCCGTAGCTGCACGGTTTGGTTGGGGCGAAGAGAGAGTCGAGAGAGCGCTTGCGGTCACCCGCGGCATAGGATGGGTTGTGCTGGTTGGCGGACGGGGATGAGAGGATCGCTCCGAGCACTGGAACGTGGCTCAGTTTACGTTGACGATCTCTCAGTCCAGTGGGCTGCAAAGATTTAACTTATTAATTCTACTTCAGCGTAAATGAGTCTAAGAATTTCCAATAATGTGATGCAGGCGAACACATACCATTAGGTATATGGCTTACATTTAACAGATTTTCAGTAAATTTATTTAATTCAAAAAATTGAGAATAATGAACTTAATCCTGCAAATATTGTCAACCGCTTGCTGTGACCTAGCACAATCTCTAAGGTAACGTTTGAATGCCATCGCGAAAGGAACTTGCAGATTTCAAGGCAGTCAAGTCATCATCGACGACAAATTTACCCACACCGTCGAGTGTTTTGGGAACTGGTTCTCCACTAAGGCGTGCTGCTGCTACTGCTCCTGGTGCATTGAACGCAGCAAATGGTAGTCGGATGGGGCCAAGTCTGGTGAACATTCCGCGTGTGGCTGAACTTCCCATCCCAAGTTTAAGGCGATCTTCTGAGTCGCACAACCAACGTGAGGTGGTCGAGCATTGTAATACAGCAGCAGCAGCATCAGCAGTATGACTTGCCTACTTTCTTGTCCAGCAAATGGCGTTTTCTGATCACGTGCTTCGCTCAGTTTATTCAATTGTCGGCTGTAGCCTTCCACAGTCACCGTCTGACGACCAGTTTCCAGGAGTTTGCAATAAAGTACATCCCTCATATACCTTTACCACATACTTAGGAGAACCTTCTTCAAGTGGATGTCCCACTTCGGCGTCGATTTACTGCTGGGTTGGCTGGAATCTACCCACGACTTTAGACACCCTGGATTCTCGCAACGATTCTTCTTTTCATCACAA